TGTTGCACTCATGCTCTGGTTCAGCCTCTCATTGCTCAAACCTAACAATAATTAAAGCCATTAATGACATAGGCAGTTCCAGTGATACGCTACCCAGCTGGAATCATCAACTGGACTATGGCTGAACTGGAAAACCTGGATTGGAAAACACGTAAACTTTTGAATATGTACCACGCTTTACATCCACAAAGTGACATCGACAGGTTATTCCTGCCAAGAAGAATAGGGAGCAGAGGGCTATTGTAAGTCCATCAAACTGTAGAAGAATAAAAAATGAAATTTGAATGATTATGTGAACCAAAGTACAGAAAAATTGCTGCAGGCTGTGAAAACGGAGAATGTTATAAAAATAACAGAAACAAAGGCAGAAAAACAGCTGGATGACCGATTAAATGGATGGAAAACAAACCTTTGCATGAACAGCACTTGAAAAACATTGAAAGAAAATGTGATAATAACTTGACATAGGCATGGCTTAAGATGGGAATTATCAAGAAAGAAAGGGAAGGTTGTATCCAAAATGTCATGGGAAGCACCAAAACCTGGTTCAATGACTGTGGGATTACTGTGCTCGATTGGCCAGCAAACTTACCTGACCTGAACCCCATAGAAAATCTATGGGGCATATCCAAGAGAAAGATGAGAGACATGAGACCGAACAATGCAGAAGAGCTGAAGGCCACTATTGAAGCATCCTGGTCTTCCATAACACCTCAGCAGTGCCACAGGCTGATAGCTTCCATGCCATGCCACATTGAGGCTGCAAAAGGGGCCCAAACCAAGTACTGAGTACATATCCATGCTTATACTTTTCAGAGGTCCGATAATGTTCTATGTACAATCCTTGTTTTATTGATTGCATGTAATATTCTAATTTTCTGGATTGTGGATTTGGGGTTTTCATGAGCTGTAAGCCATAATCATCACTATTATGACAAATCATGGCTTGAACTATCTTGCTTTGCATGTAATGAATCTATTTCATATATTAGTTTCACCTTTTAAGTTGCATTACTGAAATAAATGAACTTTGGCACGATATTCTAATTTTTCGAGTTTCACCTGTATTCCCTTATCTATGTAATTTATGAAGACGTTGAAGACTTCTGGGCCTAAGATGAAACTTTGTAGTACCCCACTGCTTAATTCCTTCCATGTAGATATAGTACCATTAAGGACAACTCATTGAGTACAGGTTGTCAGCCAGTTACAAATTCATCTGGTGGTAATTCTGTCTATTCTACATTTTTCTAGCTTACCAAGTTGCAGTCTATTTCATCAAATGCTTTGCTGAAGTCTAGGTATATTGTGTCCACAGCATTTCATTGGTTTACTAATTTAGTGATTTTGTCAAAGAATGAAATAAGATTGGTCTGGCATGATCTGTTTTTAACAAATCTGTGCTGGTTTTTAGTTATAATTTTATTTTTTTCTAGAAGTTTGCTGATCTCTTTTTTATTATCTTTTCCAGTATCTTGTCGAGCATAGATGTTAAGCTCATTGGTTTGTACAATCTGTGTCTATTCCCCCCTCCTTTT